AATTAAGTGTATCGCAAAGATATTCAGAAAGAATAAACCAGCTTTATTTAAGAAAGGACTTCTATCAGTAAAATTTCTTCGGAAAGAATTTTTACGGAAAATTAACTAACGAATGGAGACGTAACAGTACTGTCTGTTGTAAATCCATGTGGCTGTTTCGCATGGTATGGAGGTTCATTAGGCCCACGCGGGAGTACATGGACATTTTGCGTTTTGCGGTTTTTATGGGCGTTTTTGCTTTTTTACCACTACTTCGCCCTCAGTAAATGGATCCTCACCAAATTTGGCATGAAGGTTTCTTGGGTCCACGCGGAGATACATGAAAAGTTGCGGTTTCACATTTTGTGTTTTGCAGTTTTTATGAACGTTTTTGCGTTTTGTACAATTACATATAAGGGAATCAACTTTCCATTAATCCAGTTAGTTATTAATAAGATAACTTTTTTTCTATAGATCTTAATAATTAGACATACGATATCCATTATTTGTTGATAACTCGCAAATAAATTAAGTTGCGTACTAATGGCCTCAAGATGTTTAGCGAGTTTTTACGGCATCGGGACGAGAACCATGAATCCTCGTATTCACAGTTCGGCGATAAGGAGTATAATTAACTTGTTTGTTTTGAATTTAGCGCAAAGCTACACGAGGGCTATCTGCGCTAGCCGTCCCTAATTTAGTAGTGTAAGACTAGAGGAAAGACAGCTAGTCATCATCACCCACCGCCAACTCTTGGGCTACTATTTTACCAACGAATAGTGTGATTGACCGTCACATTGAAACGCCCCCACAGCTGAAAGAGCAGATTGCGAGGCGAGCTCCCTAACCATCTGGCCATGCCGGACCTGTATAATTAACTAAGTAGAATCTCGTTAGATAATTTGAAAAAATGACAGATTAAAAAATATACTGTTAATTACCTAAGTAATTTATTCACATTCTAGCACATCCAGATTTAATTTTCTTATTGTTTGAGAGAATAATATTGGACTGATCTTAACTAAATATATTTTCCACAGAATGTTTACATTCTTTTATGAACGATTTTCAAGCAATAATTTTTATGTGTTTCCTGAGCAGGAAATCTCCACTCGAGAAAAATGTTACCAGTTAGTTAACGTGATCCAGACCGCAAGGCAAGACTTGAAGAAACACCACTAATAAATCTCTACTCTGAAGCGAAACATTTTTTTTTTTTTTTATGTCTGTGTGTTTACATTAGTTACCACGAGGGAAACATGTTGTATACCTTGCTCCTCGGATTTGTTTAAATTACGAGTGACCAATAAGAATTATAGTTGCTGTTCAATAATGTTTGTTAGTTTTAAGTTTGATGTAGGCTTAGGGACCAATTTGCACTAATCTCGCGCCGGAAACACTGATGTTATATACTAACCTGCGAAAATAAAAAAATTAGGCTTACCTCGATTCAATTATACCAAAAAGAAAAAGACAGTAATATTTTTACATCTTTAGTAAAGCGTGGGTTGGAGCGAAAATCACACTAACTTTAGTGATGATTTTAATTTACTTGTAATATTTTGTTTATGCTACCGAAACTCTTAATAAAGTCACGTAGAGATGATGCTTGCCGAGAAATATCGTCTGTGGTTAACACGTGATATTATCGATACGTTACTAGGTTACGATAACGATATTTTTCCCACTAGTACAGTCAGGATTTTTCACAAACATATATTTTCAGGTTTGAAACGTTAACGTTTACGTACCCTAAAAACCAAATAAGTAAAAGTAAATAAACAAAGACAATAAAACCGAAGAAATAACTAGTATATATATATATATATATATATATATATATATAATAAGTTTAATGTAGGCTTAGGAACCAATTTTTACTGATCCAGCGCCGGATAAAATAAAGCCTACATCAACAATGCTGATTGAGAAACAATAGTTAACTAGGATATGTATATTACAATCAGGTTTTCTGTTTTAAATGTGTCTGTAAAGTATAACAATTACTACTGTTGTTGACAAATAAATACTTAGTTAAAAAAACGAAAATAAACAATAACCAACTGATAAGTGTTAGATAACAAACACAATGGGTTAACCGCGAAATGTTGGAGTTTTAATGAAGTTTTATTTAAGTTCTTTAAGAAATGTGAACAGAATCGCCAAATTGCTAGTCTCAGTTGATCTTACAATTGCAAAAGTCTTTCGAATATAACACTGCATTAACAACTACATATACAGCTAAGCCTAAATAAGAACTTATGTGCAACCCTATGTGTACTTGTTAAGCCTAATGTTAGTTTAGCAATGTTACTGCGTTCTCACGGCCTATCCACTTTGGTCCCTGTTTATAATTTTCAGTAATCAGAGAAATACGCCATAAACTGTTTCTGATTTTCATCTCATATTTCTCTGAAATTCAGGTCTAGTAATACGAAACAAAATTTATTTGAAATTTTTAAAAGTCCACATACGTTTCATAATAACATCAATGAATTTTATTCTTACTGTATTGCTAAACACAAAAATTGTGTATCGTAGTTTAAAAAAAAAGTTGTGATACACGAGACATTTTCACAGAATTGTAACAAATCCCACAAGTTTGTGGAAAGCGACATTAAGGAAAGTAACTAAAATGTCAGATCAAATTTTGATATAGTTAGAAGAATATCAAAATATTAGTTTACCTCAATAAACTTACATTTTGAATAACATTATTTTAACTATGAAGCTTAGAAAATCCAAAACCACTCAACAATATATTTTTATATAAAATGTACTTCTGAATTTGGTATTTCTAACCTAAACGCCACCTAATATAATACATAGCCAAATGGACAAGTCGGAGAACTATAAAGTCCAGACGTAACGCGCCCGCAGCTGAAAGTGTGGAGCGTGTTCTGTAGCGTATTAGGGGCTCGAACCTTGGGCCTTTCAATCCGCAACTTAACACGCTAAACGACCATACACAGAGTAAAATCAGAGTACATTTTTTTTTACAAATGTTTTCTTATAAACTTACTAGAATCTATATATTAACTTTTTCAGACAAGGGGTTAATTTTTATTAAATATCATCGTCTTTCTTGGCCGCCTAGCGACCGTCGTAGGATTAGCCTGCTTATACACCTTTAAAGAAATGGATCTGTAAGAACCAATTATCTCACTTTAATATCAATTAGCATAATAAACCACCTGGTGTTATCCAACTTTTATGAAATCGATATTTAAGCACATAGCAAATGCAAGACATAAGGTATTCTTACACGTGAACTTTGAAAGTCATGGGTCATGATGTATTGTACAACAGTATGATGCGAAATTAATTGTTGAATTTCAGAATCATTATTAAAAATTATAAAGTTAATAAAACGAAGAACGGATTATTTTATAACACAGGATGTGACAAACAGCGTGTATGAAATCTACCACTCAACCGTTTTCAAAAATAAACACTTTTGTTTCTACATCTGTCATGGCGCTGGGCACACACGTGAAAAAGTTAGACCTTGATTTATCACGATCGAAGAGGTCACTGTGGAGACTTACCAAGCGGTAACATTGTACGAGACATGACGTAACAGTAGGGCAGCTACTGGATGAGCCACTTGTGAAAGACGATGACACCGACATAAGGCAACCACATGGTGAACACTTGGATCAACTTTATGAAACAAGTGACCCCCTCCCAAGGGGCTTGATTGTGTCAGCAAAAATTAACAACTTAGAATCCGAAGCTCGTGGGTTGTATTTCAAACAAACGACTCTTCAGTTTTTATCCTTCCTTTTACAAACCCATCAAAATATTTCCCAAACTTTTGAGAAATACTTATTCAGCTCGGATTTAGAGAAATGAAAGGTACAACAATATTAAACACAGGATTCAAATGTGTAATTAAAGAAAAATAACATAACTTACTAACATCATACATATGACAATAAGTTCACAACGATAATGCAACATATATATATAAATTAAAAAGTCCCACGTGACTTAGCGGTAACCTTGAAAGTATATAACACTAAAAATCTCGATCCAATCCCTTCGAGGGCAAAACTTAGCCTATTGACAGCTTTATGCTTGTTAAGAAAGTAAATAAATCGGTTAACAAGTTTTCAGTGGTTTTATCTTATAATGAAGTACATTTAATGACACTATAACAACACTCAACTGTTTATAGATTTTTTAAAAATATTAAACCATGTCATTATATAAAGCAATTAGTAGGGTGTTAAGTAGGATACTGCACACTTATTACCTAATAAACTTGGCTCTAGGAAATTATTGTCCAAACTAACTTTAGAAGACAGAAGTGGAGCCATTACAGTTGGTTTATAAATGAAGGTAACAAAACAAAATCAAAATAAAGACATACAGCTTTAGTGACAGGGAATTCATGGATGATATTTATCTTAAAAAGCGTGTACATATTTTCTACTGAATAAATATTTCAATTTTATTAATAATTTTCAGATTTTTCGTTCCAATGAACTTGACAGCAAATTAACTAGACACAAGGTTTCTTTCTGTTGTTTGATATGATACAACTGGTTGTCATAAACACAAGGTTTCTATTGTTTGATACGATACAACTGGTTGTCATAGATACAAGGTTTCTATTGTTTGATACGATACAACTGGTTGTCATAGACACAAGGTTTCTATTGTTTGATACGATACAACTGGTTTTCATAGATACAAGGTTTCTATTGTTTGATATGATACAACTGGTTGTCATAGACACAAGGTTTTTATTGTTTGATACGATACAACTGGTTGTCATAGATACAAGGTTTCTATTGTTTGATACGATACAACTGGTTGTCATAGACACAAGGTTTCTATTGTTTGATACGATACAACTGGTTGTCATAGATACAAGGTTTCTATTGTTTGACACGATATAACTGGTTGTCATAGACACAAGGTTTCTATTGTTTGATACGATACAACTGGTTGTCATAGACACAAGGTTTCTATTGTTTGATACGATACAACTGGTTGTCATAGACACAAGGTTTCTATTGTTTGATACGATACAACTGGTTGTCATGGACACAAGGCTTTTACCGTTTGATTTATGTGGTAAATAAAACAGATAATCAAACATTTCTCGTTCGCCCACGTGGGCATCCTTTGAACTTTGACATTTTTATCTGCTTTGTCCAGATGATTCTGTTTAGTTCTAACACTCTATCAGTGTGAAATATCATTCAAATAACGGTGTAAAATTCAGTCTAATGTATTTCACTCTGGAACTTCGAAACAATGTCGACAAAGAGCTTATATAAAACACAGTAATTTGTGTTATGTGATACAAGTAATATGGTTCCAATTTACTATGTCATACGATTAGTATGATACAGAAAACCCGACGTAATATGAAAATCAAAGCAGTAATATTATTCGTGACTATATCTGCTGGGAACAGGATCAAATAGCAGTAGATATCTGAGACACACAACGAACGGCGGGTGTTTTACATTATTATTCAACATAATGACTGTCATTCACTTAAAGCTGATATAGCATATTAAAACACGCCCACCTCTGTTCTAACTTTAGGCCTACTCGAACGTCACTGTCAGCAAACCGAATTTTATATCATTATTACACAGGTAACAATATTAAAGTAATTATCACTATTACACGGGCAACAATATAATATGCAAAATAAGTGTGTTTTGGGCAATAAAGACCTTTATTCTTCAGATCATAATAATAATAAAAAAAAAAACACTTTTAATTTCTGCCAACGTTTCGCCCTTGTCGCAAGAGCGAAACGTTGACTGTTTGTTTTAGAGCAAAGCCACATTGAGCTATTTGCTGTGTCCACCAGGGGGAATCGAACCACGTATTTTAGCGTTGTAAGTTCGTAAACTTACCGCTGTCCCATCGAGGGACAAATTTGAAATAAAGTTTTTTAATTACTACTCGGAGAGTAAAGGTCTTTTTTTTTTTCTTACTTTGTTGCCAAAATGTACAGTTCCCTCCAGTACGCATTAAAAATTTTGAAAAACAACAAAATAGGTATTAAACTTCATGGGATAATAATTAAAATAAAAATTTTATATATGAACCTAATTGTTTCTTTACTGACCAAATATTTTTAGCGCCTCTACAAATAAGTTAAAAACTAAAAAGGCTTAGCAAAGAGTATTTTAACTTGTTTTTAAAAAAAACTATACTAGTCCGAAACGTTTGACCAGAACTTAATTTCCGTTTTTCTTTCATTGATGAAAGAAAACTGAAATTACAAATTTCTACAAAAAAAATTTAAACTTAAAAGAAAGTAAAACATAATACTGTTTTCACCCGCCAGGAGGAGAGATGGGCAGGGGTCTTTGCTAAATAAAAGTTTACATATTTAAGAAAATATGTAAAGCAGCGTTTATACATCAAGAAACCCGTTATACAAATAAAGTCAATATTTTTGAAGGGGGGCTGCCTTTAGTTTCCAGCATGTTAAAGATGTTCCGAACATGAAAAAATGTAAAATTTTTCATGTAAAATAATTAGATTTACATGATGAAATAAAAAAAATCCTTTGTATTCGCGAAGTAGTAAGTATCATTCGTTGTACATTACCCAGTGATAAAGACTGGATAAGAAAAAAACGCGGGAAAAAAGTACCGACAAATCAAAATGGCGGTTTGTTTGCCAGCCATCTCTAATTTAGTAGTGACAGCCTAGAGAGAAGGCAACTAATCAACACCATTCACCGCCAAATCGTGGGCTATTCTTTGCCAATGAAAAGTGGGAATGACTGTCACGTTATAACGCTCTCACGGCTGAAAGGACGAGCATGTTTGGCGACGAAATTCGAAATTGGGACCCACACGTTACAAGTCGAGCGCCCAAATCATCAACTCGTGCCATTGTGGGTAATTAATTCTAATCCTCCCGGTGACCTTAAAATTGAACAATAACACAGGCCTGCGAACTTAAACTTCATAAAAGTTGTTTTGGTTTTAATAACGGATTTTTCGTAATTCAGCTACGCAGATTTCGAAAAATAATATTCATTTTTTTTTTACAAATCGGGAAGAACAAAAATCTTACTTAGATCAAATTATTATTTCGTTTACCACAATGAACATTTTTTATTATTATGTTTGTCGTGTTTGGATTCCAGAATGATCGATAAGACTCACGTCGCGATTGGTCTAGAGCGGTTGTCAACATTTTAAGCATAACAAAATGTGACCCGATTTCAATGAAAATGATTCACTTTTGTAAAAGTACATATGACGTTTTGTGAAAAATCTGTACGTGGTGGAGAAAAAGGGATATGATTTTCGGATTCAGGGTACAGGAATTACTGTAGAATATGTACAATTTTCAAGACAATAAAACCATCGCAGGCCTGTGAAATCAGAGCCATATGACCACTTGAGCGCCACCTAGGGGTCTCTAGAAAACCAATGTAAGTTTACTTATTAAATCACGCATGATACTTATGACATCTCGTGCAGTTTCAATTTTACTGATGACTTCGTTTTCTAAAAACACCAAGCATGTGTAGCAGACTCGTTTTATTTATGAGTGTATTTAGTACTTTATATCGGCATCTTTACAGTAACTCGGTATTTCGGTATGTAATAATATACACCGTAAAATTTAATGATATCAGCACATAAGCTATTAATGCATTCTGGCATGTTGTACTATTTATTCTGAAAATAAATAATGTAGATTGAGTAACTACCAAAGTGATCAAGAGATGGCAGCACGTTCCTACGAACTGCACGGTATCTAAAATAAACCTTTGGCTGTTTATTTGGTGAGTTTAGAGAAAAGACACGTTGGGCTACCTTCTGTATCCACCGCGGGATATCAAACCCCGGATTTTAACACTGTCCCACCATGAGTGGGTCTTAACATTTACTTTTTATTATTCCGTTATCTAATGCAACAAGTTGAAAGGCGTCTTCAGCTATTTACCAAGGTCGAAAACTGAGCTATTCTACCCTCAGTAATCTATAAAATTGACTAAAAGAAATTTCTCTGTGCGTCACTAATTGGAGGCTAAAGATTGGGTTTTGATACCCGTGGCGGGAACAGCACAGATAGTCCATTGTGTAGCTTTGTCTTTAAAAACAAACATACAAAAGAACTGGAGTCGTCTATCAATTACACCTTATAAAAAAAGAGAGGGTAGAGAAGGTTAACGTTACCACTGTTTTGTACATGGTGTGTCGTCATCACAGCTACAATGGTTTTTGAGGTTATGTAAAGTCTCCTTAACCATGTAACAAACGTTATTTTAAAACATAATCAATCGAAACTGGCCAGTTTATCGCCCATTTCTTCAACTGGTGTTCACGACAGCAATTACAATGGTCATCAGCGGCCAGACGATAAATAAGAGACTTCATGAACAGGATAGGGCAGTCCTGTTCCAGCCTTGCAATAGTTAAGAACTAGTAGGCGACTGAACGCTACACAGATTCATGGGTTCGTGCCTAAAGGGCATGAGGTGAACAATATGCTTTAATGAACCACTGCTGGGACTTTGAACAAGAAACCACAGAGGTCAAAAACTGGCCTAGAAGAGGAGCTGGTCTAAATCCCGTATAATGTCTGGGAGACGTGAAAGTTAACGCCTTAACACGCAACGTCAGGGAGCTTGGAGTTACATAACAAAGAAATGGGGACAGGATACATCATGACGTCATTCGCCAGAAGTATTCGCACAGGGGCAGGGGTTGTAGCAGTCAATGCCAACCTGGTCCACTCCACCAGACACTAAAACTAGCTGCTTGAAATTAAGGATATTGATTACTCATGCTCCACTAGCGACATCGGTGTCAGCGAAACTGAACTACTAACTAAATATATTATTTTTTTCATTTATTTAAATTATTTATTATGAATTTTTTATTAAAATAAATTACATTTTTAGTAAATATTTTTTATTAAATTAAATTTATTATTACAAATATATTATGCAAATAAACTGTGCTCCTAAAATTTTCAGCGCTGTTTTTAGGTGAAAACGTATATAATAACTTCTGTAAAATCTTGTAGTGGATTCTTATCAGGTATTAAAGATTCCCAGAAAACCTGACGTCACGCGCTGCCGTTAGCTGTTGTGCTATAATTGTAATACCTAACGTTCACTGCGTAATAAATAAGTGAATACACACTTTACAATAAATTATGCGTTTCGGAATACTCAAATAAGTAAATTTTCTTTGTTCTGTTGAATTGCGAGCAAGACTACACCAGGACTATCTACGCTAGCCATCCCTAATTTTGAAGTGATAGATTAGAAAGAAGGCAGTTGGTCAACACCATCCACAGCCAACTCTTGGGCTACTCTTTTAACAACGAATAGTGGACCGTCACGTTATAACGCCCTCACAGCTGAAAGAACGAGTATTCGAACCCGCGACTGTCAGATTGCGAATTGAGTGCCCTAACCATAATTTTGAAGAGATAATTTAGTCAGACCGAATAATATGATTTGACCGCAACTAAGTCTCATAAAGTGAGGGGCGAGATTCTTTTTTTTGACATTAATTGGACGCAAATCATCAAACCTGAGCACGCTAACCATTTGGCCGCACTTGCCCCCCCCCCAAAAAAAAAACATCTCTAAACCGTCGACTAATGTGATAACTGTAAGTTTATTTGTTGGTAATTTGATATTGAGAAACTATAGTTACGTGACGTATCATAAAATATTCACACTTACCAATAGGTGCAAGAATGCTAATTTCTCTGTTCGTCGTCGTGTCTGACACCGAATTAGTTTCTACTCTTCGAGGAAGGAGGTTGTCTGGATAAGACCCGGATGTTGTGGAGGAAGCCAAGCTATCCTTCACTCGATTATCAAGGGACGGGGACGAGGTTCCAGAAGCAACGGTACATGGTAGTCCTGATGACTGGAGTGCGACTGCCAGTAAGGACGAGGTGGTTATGGATGGTGATGATGTCGAATTAGACGGCGCTGGTACTCCTAATGCTTCTGCTAATATGGGGTAAGAGTTCTGACACGAGATCCTAGGTCCGGGATTCTGGATTTTGGATGAGGTTACTAATTTTGAAGAATTACTACTTACACACGCAAATTTAACAGTGGATGGAGAGTGGTCAGCTTCAAATTCTTCGATGGACATTAACGATGGGGTCTGGGTTAATAAAGAAGAGGATGATGTTGAAAAGGGGGGGATTTCTTCTGAGTTAGTACTATTTCCAACCCAGTGATCAACACCAACTTTCCTGTTCTTTTTACGAAGAGAAGTCTGAATTTCTTCAAAGTGAGACTGGGACATTAACAATTGGTCGAGGAGGCCGCTATTTTCTATTTTGGTTTGAATATCATCAAAAATATTGTCAAGTTCAAAACCCGGATCCGAGAACTGTCTCATAATTTCTTCTTCTTCTCCAGCGAGTTCCGGAACCAGACTATGCAAGTCAGTGTGTAATAGTTCTTGAAAAACATCTGGTTGTTGTTGGACATTAATGTTAGGCCCACTATCCTGTAGAATAGTGTAACTTTTTTTTACAAATTTTGAAAGGCTAATTGAAAAAAAAAAGTAATTAAAAGTTATCCCAATAACAAGTGAATAATTTTAAAAATGTCACACTTATTATTAAGAGCTTTAGAATATGAAACATGACTTTTAAATGAGGTAATCAACACAAGGAAAATGGCGCTGCGTTATATTTATATTCATGCGGTTAATTGGCACAAAAGGAAAATTAAATTCTTACATCACAGAATAATCTATTTTTTGGAAGTTAATCCACTAAGTATTTTTTGGAACCACATTAAATAAAATCATGTAAAACAATTTATGCTAGCCAGTGTTTAAATACATCAAATGTTTATAGCAATTTTGGGTAAATACGTCAAGTCACAGTTACAGTAATAACATAAATATTATACGCCATCTAGTGGTAACTATAATAACTGTAAAACATAAGTGGCTATGCTTTTTTATTTTTATTTTATTTCTCCAAAAGTACAATAATTTTAAATGTCCTATATTTCAATTTATCCACAAATTTCTGTGCCTAGGCTTAAGGTTAATATCATGGCGGAGACATGTTAGTCTTAACACTCACGAGGCAGGAAAAGTCAATCATCTTGCCATCAGCATCAGGACACCACAGGAGGTCACTGTCAGAATAAGGCATTTCACAGTTTGGTTCTCGTGGAGTTTAGAAGCGCTAAGGAATGAACGAATATATCATAATTGTTAAATATAAGGTACATAATACATAATTAACAAGTTAAGAGATTGGCTGAATATAAGGTACATAATACAGAACTAACAAGTCACGGGATTGGTTGAATATAAGGTACATAATACAGAACTAACAAGTCACGGGATTGGTTGAATATAATGTAGTTAATACAGAACTAACAAGTCACGGGATTGGTTGAATATAAGATAGTTAATATAGAACTAACAAGTCACGGGATTGGTTGAATATAAGGTACATAATACAGAACTAACAAGTCACGTGATTGGTTGAATATAATGTAGTTAATACAGAACTAACAAGTCACGGGATTGGTTGAATATAAGATAGTTAATATAGAACTAACAAGTCACAGGATTGGTTAATTATGACACATTAGAAATCATAAAATAACAATAAGAATATTTGAATCTCATGTCCAGTTTACAGCTAACCAATCACCTGTTAGTCCATTGTATCAAACTTTACTTCATAAAATTACACTATTTACTAATAATACAGCAGTTTTATTAAACAGATAAAAACTTTAAATGTAACTATTTTATCGCATTTAACATTAATTGTTCTGTTTATTATTTGTCATTTATATATTAATACATACTTCAACAGTATTATAAGATTAAATGAAACAGCATTATAAGAATTAAACGTTCCAAAAATGAAAATGTCGCCAATAGGTGGCAGCACAAAAAAACAGACAAACTTTTCAAGCACAAGTATGATTTATTATATGGTAACGGTAAGTTTTTGGATCATGAAAGAATAATATTCTGATACAAATAATAATTACTAACAGAAATAAAATAAGCGCAAACTGTAGAAATTTTAAAATGCATAAAAATGTGGAATATACAACATTCCATGGTATTTTATTACCTTACGAATATTTTAAAATCTTTACACTAGATGGCGTCAAGTAGCATCAACAAACCCGGTTTTTACCGTTATAGGCCTTCAGATTTACCGCTAAGCCACTCTGGGCTCCGATAATTATAAAAAATTGCTTTGATATTACAAAGTAAAACTTGGTCGATAAAATTTTATTATTATGTAAACGGTAAATAAAATAATTTCTTTATACTCCAAAACGTAAAATGGCTGACCAGTACGTTGAGATAAAACAAGGTCATCACTAAATTTACACAAAGCAAATACTGAACAGCATACAGTATTAGCTAAGTTATGTTAACAATGAAACAATCACTCGTGCAGGACAAGGTAGGTTTTAATTATTGTATTTTGGCACTAGTGTATAAAGTTAAAACCATAAATAATATTCAACGTTAAAAACTAGTACACAATTAAAAACATTTTATTTAGGCCTATCTATGGCATTGTCTTGTAATTCACTCCTGAGGATGACGTTGTAACGTCGAAACATGTAGGTAGAGTCGTCAACTTGTTGAAGGCCAGGTCTACTAGATCTCTGATGAATCATTTGCCAGCAGGTAAGTGTTTTTTTATACAGATTCTTATGATCTTATCTAAATTATTATTATTATTATTAGATCTAACTTAGTTATATCATCTACTATAGGCCAAGCGTCCTAGGCCTACGTGTGAGTGCATATCTGTGCTGAATTATTAGCCAGCGGGTGAACGCTTTTTCTACAGATTCTTATCTAAATAAGTACGTTATTATTATTATACCTAAGGTTAGATCATCTATATACATAGTTCTAGGCCCCTAGATCTATATAATTAATATACCTTATACAGCTGTGAAAATTGAAATGTTATGCTAATAATTGGCAAGCACGAAATTGCATTAGAAAATATTTTTCCCCAATAATTTATAAAATTTGTTAGATGATAGATCTATCATCTATGCATTAGTTTAATACATTTCTAAATTTTTAAGAAATATAAATTTTTGTGTTTTCGCTCCAAATATAACAGGACCCCTTTCTCTAATAATTCATTTCTTTGTTTTTCACCTGTTACTATCCATTTTATTTATTTTTTTGTTTTTTCTACTTTACTTTTTTTGAAATATATTTTTTAACGTATTACTTATGGAAGAAATTAATAAAGATTTGAATTTTGTTAAGTTGAAAGATTATAAAACACTTTTTTAATTGAAAGTTTCTAAAGGATCTTTAACACTATCCGTGACGGCCTATTTTTACTTTCTGGCCCCTCCTTTTTTTTTAATATCTAATATTTTTATATGCTGCTAGTGAGAGAACCTGTTGTTAAAATATTTGAATCCCACCACTGTCGTGAGTCTACTGCTAAAAGATCTTTGACAACTCAACAAGATCTCAAACGTTTGTTGCATCAGCCAACGACACATCTTCATCTATGGGCTGTACCAAGTAGAAGGTCAGGTTGAATCTGGGTGGCTTTGTGTTGGTTAAGAAATCCAGTTCTTTGCCAAACAGAGAGTCACAATTGACAAACTGCTTCGTTATCACAGGATATTCAGAGATTTTAATTCCCAAGTTTGTAAGTGCAAATCACTGGTTGATTAAAGACAATGAATTCTAATTGGTCAAAATGTCCGTCAGATGTGAAGATTGAATAGGGCTCATAACTGTCTAGCTTATGACCATTACTCTCCTCTAAAAACAACCTTTAAAGCCAGAATAATGCTTGAAAAGCTTTGGTCAAGTAGTACTGCTATGGAATTCAAATGTTCTCATGTAAAAATACCCTATAGAAAGTGCATCTCTGGCATCTGCGAATTATGCAACCCACAAGCCCATTGGATCTTTACATGACCCATACCTATCTAGTCATGCTGCACTCTATTGTCACTCTCGTAACAATGGACAGCATGCTCAACATAAAGCCAAATCCTACACATACATATACACCGACCCGAATTAGGTAAAATTAGCCTTCCCTTTTGACTCTTAGCATTCATCAACATATCAATTTTCTTTCTTTATAGTCCTTTTTCACTTACAAGTTTTGTACTAGTAATGATGTCACCACTTGGGTGATACTTTCCACTTCTCACCAGTACACTTACAATCTGCATTTTTGTACATCTTAAGATGGTCTTTGTACAAACAATGTTGAGAAAATATTAAGAAAACTTTGGTTTTTCTTAATATTTCAACTTATATAACTGAAACTATTCCATCACAATCAATTAAACACTGGGTGTACCAAGTTTATATTTGTTATGATGTTTTTAGATACTGTCTGCTAAATTCATATACTAATGGCAATTAACCTTCTCAAACATTTTGATTCAAAACAATCGAAATATACTGAACTACTATTACCGGAAAACAACATATAAAATTGTGTTTTCTCTCAGACATAATGCTATGCAACTCTTATTGAAAAACAAAAGTTAAACTATGTGTCCTCTCGGACTTATTGTGAGTCCTACTCTTATCCTTCCGGAAAAATCACTACCTGCAAAATATTTCAATGACAAAATTGAACCATTTTCACACAAGTATTAATTTAAATACAAATGACTTGTAAACTGTATTTTCCAACAATACCTTACAGGTTAGTAATCACAGTTAACTTCCTATCACAAAATCTTAACATCCTTTGTTCCCATCAGTATATGTCTTAGTGATTGTGTTTGTTGTGCAGTTGATCCATTCATATTATAGAACACTCACGAATGACTTAATGTAATGTTCCTACACGTGTGTGTGTGCGTGACCATGTGTATTTATTTAGATATGTATATAGCCATGCAAATTTTCTGAAGCATTGGGCCAGTAGCTATTAACATAACAATATAGGACCTACTGGTCCATCTCGGCTGTTCCACACTCTAAACTGAATTAACTTAAAAAACTTAAAGCCAGCCCTTATCATTCATATACTTATCAAGCTTTTTCTTAAACTCATTTAAATTTACTGCCTTTACAAAATCGGAAGGGAACCCATTCCAAAGGCCAAACACCCTGTTAGAAAAATAAAACTGCCTTAGCTGATAATGACTCCAACCTTGCCAAAATTTATATTTGTGTCCCCTAGTTCTACTATTATCA